GACGTCGGGCAGGCGAGACTGCGATGCTCTATGAAAAAACGCTTCGAGAACGCATCGAGGCAGAGGAACAAAAAAAACAGGCATATGGGGGGGGCCACGGGCCGATCCCGGAGGTGAAACGTGACCTGCACGACGACCAGACCTGAAAACAAGGCAGCGGTTTGGAGAGCGGAGAGGAGAACCCCCCAAACGTCTGGCACATGTCCTCGAAGTCCAGGAGGGAGCGGAGCGAGGATGAGGGAGGGGGCCCTCCCTCCCTTCAGCCCTCCTTCCCTGCCTCGACCCCCCTCCATCCACTGAGGCAGCCGAACGTAAGAGCCATACTTGTAAAGGGGGGTCCTGGCATCGAGATCCTGGACAGGAGAACCAATATTACCGCCGATCCACTTCCACAGGAACTTCCAACGCCGAGGTACGGTTTCCAACACTTGTTACGGTGGTTGTTGCAGATTCCCTTGGTGAAGTCATGATCGCCATAGCCGCAAGCATCGTTTCAATCAAGGCAGTGTGATCGCGGTTGACTTGCGAGTTTCTCACCAAGCTTTCGGCGTGCTGCGAGTGTTGTCGAGGTCCGCGATTGGCGTCCGACCTCGTCCCCTGCCGCACACGTTGCGCTTCCGCTCCGCCGTGGCGCGATAGCGGGTGCGAAGCACATGGTGCATCTGCAGTGACGTCGCTCAAGCAGTGTGCGCATCTCTGAGGGGGCCAGTGCCTGGCGGGGCGCTGCCGGGGGAATGGGCGCCCAACTCAAGCAGAGCGTCTGGACCGTCGTGAGCTCGGGGGCGTGACTGTCGCAGCCTTCGACGACCCGCGTCCAAGCTGCAAGCATCGAGGCACCTCCAGAGGAGTGGCGCCGGCATCCGTGCACCGCCCCGCACCATTTCGGCACTTCCTGTGGCGGGCACATTCCGAGCCGCCACGGCACGGAACGGAGCAGGAGGCTCTTTTACCTTTCTCGGCCCCTGCTATCGAGGTCACGACTCGGGGCCGTTCCGTGGACCAGCCGTGCCGCTCAGCCTGTCTTTCTCGCCGTCCTCCTCCTCCTCCTCCTCCTCCTCCTCCTCCTCCTCCTCCTCCTCCTCCTCCTCCTCTCCTCGTCGTCTGCATTGTTCTCTCCCGCGGCTGCTGTTGACCCTCTGATCAGCTCTTCGGGGTGCCCGTAGTCGTTCTAGGTCTCCCAGATGGGTTCCGAGCAGATGTGGGCCGAGGAGTCGCGCCGCATCGCCGATGCATCGTCGATGCGACTCGATGTGGGGCCTCATTCTTTAGCGCCGACGGTGCCGATGCATCGCCGACGTCGCCTGCTCATCGCCAATGCATCGCCGAGGCGCAATCCTCCGACCCCATCTACGCCGACCCCACCCAGGAGGCCCCTAGTCGTAGGGGCGTGCGGGTCAGTGGGCGAGGCGAGGCGATCGCGCGATGTCGGTCCAGCAGGACCTGCCCTGCGAGGACAGCGCGGCGGGGCTGGAGCCCTCAGGGGTCGTCGAAGTGGGGAATGAGGTGGGGCGAATGCGGGGCGAAGTTCGCTCAGGCGCGCCGCCCAGGCGCCGAGGACGGGAGCTGCTCTTTCCCGTCCTCCACCTTCCTTGGGGAAGGCTGTGCTTGCCCGACCTGCCTCCGACCGCAGAAAACGCAGAAACGCAGAGGGGCCAGAGGAGATCGATCGACGCGGGGCGTGGAGGGGGGCCTCTGCCCGCCGCGCGCGGGGAGTGGCCCTCTGCCGGCGTGACCTCTCGGCGCGCGCGGCCTTCGGGGAGGGGCTGGGGCCCAGGCCCCACGCGCTCGGGGCGCCGTGCCGTCGCATCGCAGGCAGCGCAGGCCATTCTGCCCGGCGTCGGCCACTCTGCCGATTGGAGCGCGCGCGCCGTCGGTGCCAGCGGACAGACGGCGTCCTGTAATGTTCCATGGGCCGTCGCATCTGCATTTGTGCAAACGCCGTCGGCTGCGGCGCGTCGCTCCCCCCGCCCCTTGCCACCCCGCCGGGGTAAGGGTGCGGGTATCTTTCGCGCCCGAGAATGCGGACCGGCACGCTGGGAACGCAGGGCCTTCCCTGGCCGCGGGCAATGTGCCCAACCCAGATGTACGGAGCGACCCGCAAGCCGGACTCCCTCTCGAGCTCGGCGTTTGGGCAATCGTGCCGCTCTCGCGCGCGGCCGACCTCCCAGAGATCCGACAGCGCGAAACCATGGTCGACCCACGGACCCACAACGGAATTGCTTGAAACGCGAGGTGTGGCTACGCGCTCAAGACACCTAGCCGGACGACTGGCAATTGCAATGCTGAGGGTATCGATCGTGACGCACTGTGGCAAGGATTGTGTTGTGCTGTGCCGTGCGGACATGCGGTGTGTCATGCTGCGAATATATTGCGTTGTGCTCTCAAGGGTTGTGGGTCAGGTCGCTCTTGGCATCCGATTCCTCGCCGAACCGATCTGGATCTTGAGCTCGAGCTGCCTGAGCGCATAGGTGGATCAGAGCTGGTCGCAGTCGAATCGCGTGGGACGCTCAGTCAGCTCGAGCTCCAGATCGGGCTCCGTTCCGAAGTGGAACGAGGCGACACGGGCCGCTGAGAGCATGGACGCGCCACGGAGTGTGCCAGGGGCGCACCAGGGGATGCGCCAGGGGGCGTGTCGGGGGACGTGGCAAGGGGCGCGCCACGGAACGGGCAGGGAAAACGCCAGGGGACAAAGCAGGGAGCGCGACAGGGCACGAGCCAGGGGACGCGCGCAGGGGTGGAGGGGCTAATGCGCTGTCCCGTTCCGGGGAGTTAGGGACCCATGTGTTTCCACACTTGTCCAGCTATGGGGCGTTAGGGAACCATCCGTTTTCCCGACTGTCCCGCTCTGGCGTGTTAGAAACCCACGTGTGGTCACCGTTGTCCCGCTTTGGGGCGTCAGGGGCCCACGTGTCTTCACGTTGTTCCGCGCTCTGGGGCGTTAGGGGCCCATGTGTTGCCACGCTTGTCCCGATTTGGGGCGTTAGGAACCCACGTGTTCTCACGTTCGTCCCGCTCGGGGGCGTTGGGAACCACATGTTTTCACTCTTGTCCCGCTCTGGGTGTTGTCCCGCTTGTTCCACGCCCTAGGGCGTTAGGAAACCTACGTGTTGTCCCGCTTGTCCCGCTCTGGGGCGTTAGGGACCCACGTGTTCGCACACCTTGTCCCGCCCTGGGGCGTTAGGACCCCACGTGTTGCCACGCTTGTCCCGCTCTGGGGCGTTGGTAACGCACGTGGTTTCACGGCTTCCCGCTCTGTTGATGTTTTCACGCTTGTCCCGCTCTGGGGCGTTAGGAACCCACGTGTTATCACGTGTGTCCCGATCCGTGGCGTTAGGAACCTAAGTGTTTCCACTCTTGCCCCGCTTTGTGGCGTTAGGAACCAAGTGTCTTCACGTTTGTTCCGCTCTGGGGCGTTAGGAGCCCACGTGCTTCCACGCTTGTCATGCATTGGGGCGTTAGGGACCCTCGTGTTGTCGGGCTCCAAGGGCCACGACTCCTGAAATAAAGGTCCGACCTCAGTTCTAGAACCACTTGGGCATCCTGGGGCGCGCAAGCCTTTCAAGCGCTGCTAAACCAGCGTTCCGCTGCAGACATCCATGAGTACTCGGCATGCGTGGCACCATCCTCGAGCGGGCACGCAACAACTAATGTTGCTGTTGCAAAACAAGCGGGGGGCTCGAGGCGTCCTCGAGAAACTTGCGCGCAGCGCGCGCCGTCCTCGAGCGGACACACAACAATTTTATAATCGATGCTTGCAAGCAAACTTGTAGGGTCTCCGAACCTCGCTGCGTAGATGAAATTATGCGCAAACCGCTCTGCACCTTGTTCCTTATTTTTCGTTTTAGAGGAAGCGGGGGTCTGCGGATCCCGTCATGCAGCGAGGATCCGAGATGGGCGACGCATTGTCTTCATGCGAGCACGCAAAAACGCCTTTCTGTTGAACCAAATGGGACTTGACTCAGTGGCATTTAAATCACTCAACGCAAAATCAACCCACTTTCGGTTGAACCAATGCGAAACAAATTTTGGAACGAATGCGAAACGACCCAATGCGAAACGCATTGCGTTCTCTGGCCCTAAGCGAACTTGGCGTCGGGGACAGTTTACAGGGTCTGGCTCGAATAGGGAACAGTTGCTGTTCACAAGGGGCTTGGTCGTTCCTTTGGTTTGCATGCGTTCCGCGACCTTTGTGGCGGCGCGCCTCCCTGGTGCTCCTTGGAAAAGATGGGCTTCGTTCCTCATTTACCGTTCCTTCGGTCAGGCCGAATCCCTGGTGAGGCCGAACCCTGGATTGCAAAAAAAACCAAGGATTGCAACAAAAACCAGGTTTTTTGCAATCCTTCGTTTTTTTGAATCCTTAGTTTTTTTGCAATCCTTTTTGCAATCTTTGGTTTTTTTGCAATCTTCCCAGAGAACCCCGGTCTGGCGCCCTTCTCCGGGAAGCCTCGAACACATCGTAGACGCTCGCGACCCGAACCCCGCACCCCATCCGTCGGCGCCCGTTCCAGGGCTCGTGTCGATTCCTCCGATTCGATTCGATTCGATTTCGATGGTTTCCGATTCGGGTTCGATTCAATCTGGGATTCCGATTTGAGTTCCGATTTCTTACTGGAGGCATGCCAGCCTGCCGATTTCTGCCGATCCGACTTTTCCCGACTCGGCTGCCGATTTCCGCCGATCCGACTCATTTCGATCGCCGATCCGACTTGTCGATTCGACTTTGGGGGCGCCTGCCGTTCTCTCGAGCCAGATCGATCTGCGGGGGCCCTTAAGGGCCCTTGGGGCCTGGTGAGGACGCCAGGGCTCGAAAGCGACGTCGGTCGTGCCGCTCGGATCTCGGAGCCCTGCGGCCGCTCCACGGCGAGGAGGAGGAGGAGGAGGAGGAGGAAAAGCAGGAGGAAAAGCAGGAGGAGGAGGAGGAGGAATAGGGGAAGGAGGAGGAGGAGGAGGACGAGGAGGAGGAGGAGGAGGATCCCCCCCTAACGTTGCCCCTCCGCCGAGGGCGATGCTGCACGGCGCGGGGCGCCGCACCCGGGGCGTGGTTCTCGACCCAGTCGGCCTGGACTCCGGCCACGGCGGAGGCCTTCACTTTGTCTCCTCACCGCGGAGCCGACGGGGGATCCCGAGGGAGGGAGCTGGACCCTGTAGGTTTAGAAACAAATCACGACGCAAGGTTTTGTTGCCGTCTTCAGCCCTTGTGATTTTGGTGTTGCACTTTTTTTCGGAACGGGCGGTGTCGCTCCATCTCGGGCCCCGGGACCCTCACAAATGGATCCTTCTCGAAAAGTGACGCAGAAACATGGGGCTCAGGGCTCCGGTCGTGATTTCTTGCGATGCTGCATTTGTTTTGCAACGCCGGATCTCAGAGTCATGCAAAGAGGCACGGCGGAAGGTTTTTCGCTATCCTCAGCCTCCGGGGGCCCGTGCCGGACCTCGGGGCCGTCGGCACAAACGCGACTCGGGATGAGAAATCGGCCTCCGGGAGTTGATCGAGGCCTCTGGGGGTCTGCGTCGTGGGAAAGTTGACGTCGGGGCTCTGCTCCTCCTCCTCCTCCTCCTCCTCCTCCTCCTCCTCCTCCTCCTCCTCCTCCTCCTCCTCCTCCTCCTCCTCCTCCTCCTCCCTCTGGGGAGCTCTGGCATGACGACGCTCCAGCGCAGTGCCGCCCGGTCAAGCGCAGCGTCGCCGGGAAAGGTCTCGCGCGAGGAGTGCCGGGCCCCCCGCTGGCAGGCCTCGCCGTTGTTGGGCGGGGAGGCCGGGATGCAACTTCTGGGAGGTCAAATTCTGATTTTGCCCTGGTCCGAAGTCCGGCTGAATCCCACTTACGGTAGGGTTGCGTCGTGTCGACCAGCGGCGACCCCAGCGCGGGCGTTCAAGGTTGAACGCCGCCGGCGACCCAGAATCGATCGATGTGGAACGATCGGACGTTGCGGCAGCGGCCGATCGTTCAAGGTTGAACGATCCACGCGGTGTCAAAAACCAACGCTGGGGTCGGCACGACACGAACCTGCCGTAATCCCGCTTCATCCGAGGCCCACTCCGGCGTAACAGCTCCCAAATGGGGCCTAATCCTCCTTGCCCTTTCCGACGAAGACCTCCCAGCAGTTGCCTCCTAAGGGAGGGCGCCCAGAGAATGGGAGGGCGTCCTCTGGCCCCAGCAAGGCAGGCACGCGGGACCTGGCGCGCGAAGTCCCCCTCGCGGGGTGCACTCAAGTCGGGCCTGTCCCTCTAGAGGAAGAACATTCAAAAATAGTCAAACAACAATAGTCTGGGGACGATTCTTGTTGACAATGTTTGACAAGTCTGGAGTATTTTGAGTCTTTTGAATGTTTCGTCCAGAATCCGCCTGTAGGGGGACATGCCCGACCTAAGGATACACTCCTGACGCCCATCAGAAAGCCTAAGAACACAGCATCCAGGTTCACGCACTCCAGAGGTCGTGTAAGGGAATCCAGGATCTGGGCTGGACCCTGGGCGTTGTCTTGGAGCTTCCTTTCTTCGCGGGCTTTTCGTGTGCATCTGGACCTGGACTACTACGTGAGCAAACGCTTGGAGTGGAGCCGATTTGCTTAGCCTAACGTTTTTGTTAAACTGAACTCGGATGTAAGTCTCTGGTTCTCAGGCGGTGTTCCGCCCCCCCCGCGCGCGAAAAACTTGGGCCGAGGGAAAACTCGGGGGTACACCTCCAGGGGGCGATTCGGGCGCACCCCTATCGAGAATGGGCGCCCCCACGTCGTAGATCCTCGGGTTTAGCTCCAACGTTTTGGTCCAGTTGGCAATCCCGCGAAGTCGGGGGTAGGGGTCGACATATCCCCTGTTACTTGTACTCTTCTCCGTTCTCGGTCTCCCCCCAGACCCCCCCTCGCGCGCCTGAGCAAGAATCACAGCGGGCGCTTGTTCTGACAGTTGTCGGCCTCTGGAGGCCCTCGCTGGGCAAAGGTTGGTCCCTGGGAAGCCGTGGAGATCTCTGGGTGTCCTCGATGACGGTGGGGGCGTTCGCTAAGGAATGTGCCCAGGAGGCTCCAGAGCCTGGGTGGTCCCTTCTCTGAGGAGGGCGGCGATGATATCCATGGCCGCTCCGCGATTCGAGTTCCACCCGCTTCCAGACCCTGGATTCCTTATCCAAGGGTTCCTCATCCAATGGCCCCACAGTATTCGTTCTACCCGACACGACCACACGTGCGCACCAGAGTGCCCCAGAGGCACTGAGAAACGATCCACGATTCGAGTTCCACCCGCTTCCAGACCCTGGATGGCGGGGGCAGGAGAGCTGGACCGATCATGAGGGTGGGACTTGGCGGATGGAGGGAGGAGGAGGAGGAGGGAGGAGGAGGAGGAGGAGGAGGGAGGAGGAGGAGGAGGAGGAGGAGGGGGAGGGGGAGGGGGAGGAGGAGGAGGAGGAGGAGGTGGATCCCCGTCCAATGCCCCCACCGCATCACGAAAAAGATTGTACAGCACAGAGGATCTCTGGACCTGGGCCGCCGTGCCGACGCGGCAGCGGCCTCGCCCCCGCCGTGGGCGTGCAAGGCTGCATGCCGCGGGTGCCCACGAACCGGCCATGACTACGATTTGATCTGGCGGTCGAGTAGCCGCCTGTCGTTCAAGGTTGAACGAGCCGCGCGGTGTCAGAAACCAGCGCCGCGGTCGTCGCGATACGAGCCCGTCGTATTCTCCAAAGCGTTGTGCCACCCTGGGGCCTTTCGGGGCCCCGGGGCGGTCGATTGTAGACTCGGGCTGGAGAGACCAGGGCCTGGCGCGCACAGGCGGGGTAGGGGGAGGGGAGAGAGGCTTCTTAGAAGGAGGCTGGCTCGTAGAAGGCGCGGGGCCGGCGCCTTCTTAGAAGCAGCCTCCTTCTAAGAGGCCTTCCCCCCTCCCTCAAACCCTCCCGTGTGCGCCGCCAACCCCTGCGGCTCGCGGCATCTGCTGCACCTGCTGCTGCGGATCCAATCTCATTTTCGCCCCTTGTGCTCGCCGCTGCGCTGTCTCCTACTGCCAATGCTGCTGCCGCTGCTCCTCCCCCTCTTTGCTTCCCTGCTCCTCTTGCTTTCCCTGCTCATCCTCTTGCTCCTCCTCTCCTTCCCCTCTTGCTCCCCAGGCTACTACCAGCCCCTGAAGGGCGGGAGCTACTCCGACCGGGGGCTAGCGCGCGAGTTCCACCGCAACCCCGACGTGCGTGTACACGAGGCCTTTGGGGGGGGGGGGGAAGAGGATGAGGAGAAGGATGAGGAGAAGGATGAGGAAGAGGATGGTCGCGGATGTCGCAGTGTGCAAGACGGACCGGGGAGGAGAAGGATACATCACCATATTGAAAAGAGGAGCGGAGAGGAAGGATACGGACCATGGCACTCCCGGGTCGCATCAACGATGCTGCAACACACCCTCCTCCGCCCCAGGTCTTTCGTCGGGCCCTAGAAGCATTCCTTCTCGCTCCGCGAGGAGGTGCCCCATGGAACGACGGGTGCTCCGAGGGGGGGCTTGCCTTTCGGGCAACGCTGTCTTGTTTGAGGAGGACCTGCCCTGCATTCAGGAGGGGAAGAAACACACAGACACAATTAATCGTCGATTCCCAGGAAAATATGCGAAAATATGGGAAGTGGTGGGGAAGACAGAAACCCAGAAAATATGGGAAAATATGGGGAATAGTTTTATTTGTGTGTACTTATTTGTGTGTCCCAGGGCCCCTTTATGCATGCATCCACCAGCTCGCCATCACGAGCGCGAGGGTGTGGCACCCGAGCTGCCGAGGAGCCTCCCGCGGGTGTCCAGCGACGGCCCCGCTGTCGTCGTCGCAGCGGAGCGGGCCCTGCCGTTGCACGACGGTTGCGCGGTCGTGCCCTTCTGGTGGTCATCATGCCTGGGGATGCAGCAAGCTTAAGCCCCGAGGTGAACCTATATATATATATATATATATATATATATATATAAATAAATAAATATAAAAATAAATAAATATATTCTCATACGCACCTCTCCGAGGGAGTAGAGCTCAGAGGCGATGAATGCGCACGCGTCCGCGATTTCTCTGGGCGTTTCGCTCGGGACATCCTCGACATTCTGAAAATCGGTGGCACCCCTCACGCAGATCGTGACGCCAGGGTCCAAAAACACATGGGAATTTCAACATGTTAACATAAAACCTTCAAAAACACATCGTAATTTCAATAATTTTTGACCCCGATTCTCAGGGAATGGCGGTTTCGCTTGAAAAATCCTTCCAAAATCGAGCCCAAGACCCCGCTTCGGGGCCTCCTGGGGGCCTCCTGGAACCTCCTGGGGCCTCCTCGGGCTTTCTAAACCTTCTGGCACCCCAGACCCCGCCTCGGAGCCTCCTGGGGGTCTCCTGAACCCTCCTGGGGCCTCCTGGGGCCTCCTGCGGCCTCCTGGAGCCTCCTGGGGCCTCCTGAAGCCTCCTGGGGTCTCCTGGGGCCTCCTGAGGCCGCCTGGGGCTTCCTGGGGCCTCCTGGGGCTTCAGAACTACATGCACACAGAGACACAAATCACGCCCAACACATCACACTCTAGACAAACATAACACACACACACACACACAACACCTACAACACACAAAAAGCACGCACCACGCAAAGCATACATCACACACACACACACGCACAACACTCACAATCCTGGGGCCTCCTGGAGCCTCTTCTGGTATCCAAGTCGGGCCTCCTGAGGCTTCCTGGGGGGTCCTGGTACACACATCGCAAGGTGTGGCAACCCCACTTGCGCTCGAGTGCGACTTCGATGTTGCATTTCACTCCTGCTTCAAACGCCCCTTCAGTTTTTTGTATGAGCCTGGGCACACACGTGCCACTTGTATAGATGTATTTATTTATATATATATATATATATATAAAAAAAACTGTGTAAGTGTGTATATATATGTATAGATAGAAAGTGGGTTTCATCATGTTTTGTATTTTCGTGCTCCAAGGATGACTCATGCGAGAGCTGCATTGTAAGCAGGACTAATTTGCCGGCAAGCTGAAAATCAACCCGCTCGGCGCCACGGCCAGAACCTTGTTGTCAAGACCACCTGCTCTCCACTTATTGTCAAGACCACCCGCTCTCCACTTCCGGAGGTGCGCGGCGCCGAGGCGACAACGATGCTCTGAAAACCGCCCGCCCTACATCCGCGTAGCGGCTGAAAGGTTTTAAGACAACCTCGCGCGGTACGAATGCCCGGCTCCGTCCATCTTGTTAGCACTCTGAAGCTATTCAGCGCTCATGGTGTAGCATACACAACGGTTCAGGCTTCACCATAAGCGGCGAGAGCATCAGGCGAAACGCTCGGCTGGCCCTCCCTCCCGATATAGTCGGTGGTGTCACGAGGAGGAACGATCCATAAAAGAAGGCATGGAGGAGGACCAGTGCCAGGACCACGTCCTGGCTTGGGATCGCTGGCGCTTGGCGTGCACGGCGCCCGGCGGCGCGGCGCGCGGGCACCCCGGCGCCCCGCTTGCAGGGCCCTGCCAGGCCTGCGTGGCCGCGCCGCAGGCCCGCCACGAGGAGGCGCTGCTCGACCTGCAGGCGCAGCGGGGCAGGCTGCCCGCGGCGGCCGGCGGATGCCGCAGTCCGCTACAGCGTGCCAGGCGATGCCCGCGCCCTGGGCGCGGCGGCGGCCACGGACGGCGCGGTGGCTCGGGAGGGGGAGGGCGACCAGAGAAGTCGCCACCCCGCCGGCCGCGCGCCCTGGCGGGTTCTGCCGCTCGCGCTGGCGACGGCCGGGCGCCACGGGCCGACGGCTCGGAAGCACTTGCGCTGGCTGGCGCGCGAGCGCGCCCCACTGCGGGGCGACGGGCCGGCGGCCGCCGCCGCCGCCTCCGCCGCTCGCCGCCCGCCGGGGTGCCGAGCTGAGCACGGCGCTGCGCCGCGCCACGGCGGGCCAGCTCCGCGCCACCCTCGGGCGCGAGGGACTTCCGCGGGCTTCCGCGGCGGCGCCGGCGGAGAAGAGCTGGCGCGCCGGGCGCGCCGGCGGGGGGCGCCCCGGGCTGGTGGCTGGGGCGACTGGCGGGCTGGACGGCGCCGAGCCTTAGCCAGGTCGTCGCGGAGCGCGACCTCATCAGGGCCGGCGCGCTCGGGCACAGTCCGCGCTCCGGCGCGCCAGGAAGAGGAGGAGGAGGAGGAGGAGGGAAGGGGGGAGGGGGAGGAGGGGGAGGGGGAAGAGGGGGGGGAGGGGGAAGGGGGGAGAAGGGGGAGGGGGAAGGAGGGGAGGAGGTGGGAGGAGGGGGGGGGGAGGGGGGGGGGGGGAGGGGGATTGGGATGAGAAGAAGGAGATCGATGGGGGTCGACGAGGCGGATGCCGACAAGCCAATGTTGGTGCAAGAGCATGAAACGATGAAGAGCAGCATCAGTAGCATGTCGGGTAGCCATGGGAGCACGGGGGGGGGGGTAGGATGAGTGAGGAGGGATATCCCAACTATCCTCCTCGTCCTCCTCATCCTCTTCCTTCTCCATCTCGTCCTCAGCGCCTGGCGAATCACGGCCAAGGAGCTGCGAAATGGGGCCGTGCAGCCGTGACCAACAAATCCTTGTTTTGCGGCGCTCCCCCCGCTCCTTCCCCAGTGATCCCTCATCCGAGGACGGAGCTGCTGCCTCCTCGTCTCGCCCCCCTTTTCCGCCCCTCCTCGACAGCCGGCGAGAGGCCTTGGGCAGCCAGTCCGCGGAGCCGCCGGAGATCCCGCCGAGCTGGGTCGACCCGAGGAGCCGCGGCGGCCCCGCCAGCGGTCGGCAGGCCCCCAAGGCCCCCAAGGCCCGTTCTCCGCCTTCTGCCCTCCGCCTGCTGCCGCCTGCTCCTCACCCCTCCCCCCCGTTGCCTCCGCCCCATCCTCCTCCTCCCTTTTTCCTCCTTTCTCCACTCCTTCATCCCTTCCTTCCTTCCTCCTGCTCCTGTCTCCACCTCTTTATCCTCCTCTTCACCCCTCTCCGCATCCGTCTTCAGTTTTCTCGTGCTACGTATTATCCTCCTCCTTCTCCTCCTCTTCGTTTTGATCCTCCTCGTCCTCCTCCTCTTTCTCCTCCTCCTCCTCCTCCTCCTCCTCCTCTTCCTCCTCCTCCTCTCCGGAGCCAGTTTGGCTCAAATTCGAAACACGGACCGCGGTGCTTCGAGTCTGGTCGCAGCCGAGCGGCTGGTTCAAGCACCTGGCCGACAAGAGGCCTCACGTCCACCGCCCTTTGGGCATCTAGCTGTTTATGCCCGATCCCGTGAGCGGAGACGGAATAATCACGATCCGTTCTGGCGCCTTAAACATATATATATATATATATATACCAACGCCATGGGGAGGAAGCCACGCGTTACGGGCGGCAGTCCATCACCATCCGCGAGCAAGCGCCCTGCGAAGAAGTCAGGCAAGCTGAAGCGTGACACCTCTGCTGAGCGTTGCTGTGTGGTGAACGTCCCCGTTCCCCGTCGGACAGGTCCAGAGTTCTGCCACTCTTACGAGACTCGCAGGCGCTCGGAAAGAGGGGGAAGTGCAGTTTTGATTCGCCCTAGTCATCGCGATCTGATTCCTGTGGGAGGTACTGCCACGCCTATCGACGGTTTGTTGGGTAGCACACAACAGATGATAAATTCCATGCAGCAGGGCGTCCTGACGATGTTTGAGTCTTTGGTTGAGATGATCGCTTCTCGGCGTCAACCACGCCGGGACAGCATCGCAGCTTTTGGTGAACAGGTCTTATCCCACTCGGTAGCGCTCACCAGACAGCCAGTTCGGATCGACCAGCTGACCACCGCCATGCAGCACATCCAGACCCATGGAGTTGCGAGCTGTCCAGGCTCAGGAGGGTGCAGTCATGACATGAGCGATGCAGGGAATGAGGTGCGCGTCAAGCTGTCCAACGTCTTTGATGAACAGGGCTTGGTGGGGTGCTGGGGCAATTTGCTCATCGGCCCTGAAGCGGACATGTCGGGTAGGATGGACATCGTGGAGGCGGCGGGCTGACGGAAGTATCGCGGTAGGGCCGTCGAGCCCAAGGCGGTGTGGAAGTTGCTCAAGCCGAAGCCGCCACCTCCAGTTGGCGTTGACGCATGAAGGACCACAGGTCGGCGAATAAGGCACCTCAGAGGTGCGATGCTAAGGCTTGCTAGCCTAGTCCAAAGGCCACCCAGGCGTTGGGGCCCTTGTCCAGGGGCGCGGTTAGCAACCGAGGTGTATTTGCTAAGTGTAGCCACGCTAACGCTATGGTGCACCTCTTGGTGCGCGTCGTAGTAGCTAAGTTGTGCGTGCTTTTTTGGCACTGAAGCCTCGGGCCCGCGCGGGCTGGGAGCCCCCAGGGGCCCATCTCCACAGCAGCCCAACCACACAATGTGTTGGTGGCGCGCACAGAGGGGGCGGAGGGAGGGGGGCAGGCTTCATAGATGGAGGCTACTTCTTGGAAGGCGCCGGCCTTGCATCCTTAGATAAAAAAGCCTCCACCGCCCTCTAAGGAGCAGGGGTGCTGCTAAGGAGCCCCCCCCCGCCCCCCACCCCTCTCTGCGCGCAGCCGAAGCTAGGCTATCGGGACCGTGGCTGGCCGGTCACGAGCCGTCGGGCCTGGAGCCCGAAACTTCCCCCCCTCGCTCGCCGCCGATGTCCCTCCCAGTGCAGGCGTTCCGCCCTCCCTCTCCTGCGGGCCGCTGCTCGCGTGGCCGCGCGAGGCTGCGCCCCCCCGTCTCGGGCTGGATGCGCGTGCTGCTCGTGATGGGCTTGTTTTTCACCACCACCACACGTGGGAGGGGGGAAGGAGGAGGAGGACGAGGAGGTGGAGGAGGAGGAGGAGGAGGAGGAGGAGGAGGAGGAGGAGGGGAGAGGAGGAGGAGGGAGGAGGAGGAGGAGGAGGAGGAGGAGGAGGACGAAGAGGAGGAGGAGGAGGACGAAGAGGAGGAGGAGGAGGAGGACGACGAGGAGGAGGAGGAGGAGGAGGAGGATCCCCTCCCCCCCCAATGTATGGTGGTGGTGGTGGTGGTGGTGGTGGTGGTGGTGGCAGCAAACAGGCCCATCAGCGCGTGCTGCTCGCTCCTCCGCGGCCCGAGGAGGTGGGAGCCCGAGGAGCACCACGCGGACGACTGGAGGCGCCCGCACGCCGACCAGGTGTCCGGCGGCGCCAGGAGCGAGCGCGCGGCAAGGGTCGGGAGCCTTGAGACGGGGGTCAATGCAAACGGGGGTCAGCCAGGGCGCCAGATCCTGCAGGATCCTGCGAAGACCTACTCTGGCTGACCCGGGTTAGGGAGCCGCTCGTGGCCGCGAGGCGGCCGCACACATTGGCTGACCCGGGTTTGCGAAGACCTGCGTTGCAGTTTTTTTGTCCTGCATCGCAGTTTTTGGTTTACTGCTGACCCGGGTCTGGACTGACCCGGGTCAGAAGATCCCCGAAAGGGTCAAGGCGGGCCTGTCCCTCTGCAGGAGGGATCTTCAGAAATGGTTAGAACATAATAGCACGACTTCTTTTGGGGCTATGTTTGGCTATGTCTGAATTTTTGTTTGAGTAGTTCAACGTTTCGCCCAAAACACACCTCTGTAAGGGGGACACGCCTGACCTGAGACTAAGTCGGGCATGTCCCTCCACAGGAGAAACAGTCCCAAACAGTAAAAACAAATAGTCTGGGGACGATGATTTGACCATGTTTGACTACTTTGTGGTATTTTGCAGCTTTTTTTTTCGTTGCTCGTCCAAAATCCGCCTGCAGGGGGATATGCCCGACCTAAGACAAGTTGCGTCTGGGATCGAAGGAGAGAACATCGCCATAAACATGAACTTTTGGCGCTCCGCGCGGAGTTCTTGGATCGACGCTGGGCCCTTCTGGCAGCACCTCCGGCGCCGCCCCTGGCGCGCCCCGCGCGCCAGGGAGGGGGGAGGATCCGGCGCGGATCCACGAATTCCACGCGGAGCGCCAAAAGTTTGTGTCAATGGAGATTTTTCTTCTTCTGTGAGAGCGAAGGTGTGCAAATGATTAACACGCACATCAGTCCCGTGCCAACTTGGATGGGCTGTATGAGAAGGGCCAGCAGCTTGAGGATGGCGACAGGAGGGTGATGAAGAAGTGTGAGAAGTTGTGGGGCCCTCCGAGAAGCACGGCGGGAAGGAATAGAAGGGACGAACATATAATAACAGGTGGCATCTGATACTTACAGACGGGGGGGAGCACATGAAGGGAAGCAGGATGAGGGGGACGAGCCTGAGGATGCAGAAAAAGAAGCTGCAGCAGCATCAACATGAGAAGATGACGTTATGGAGGAGGAGACGGAGTTTAACGTGGACGAGGAGGAGGAGGAAGCGGAAGAGGAGAAGGAGGTGGAGAATGAGAAGCTGGAGCTGGAGTTGTAGGAGGAGTGAAAAGGGACAAAAGCACGGTGAGTAGCTGCCCAGGGCGTGGGTTTGTTGTATGTGCCGTTCTTTCTGCCAGCGTCGTCGCTAGTTGTTGCATATATGGGTGTAGCGCGCCTTTGCCTGTGCTCACATACATCTGCCATACAATTCGTGGACAGAGCATTTGGTTCGGTTTTGAGTTGAGTTTAATCGCGCCAACGCGAAGTGTACGAGGCATGACGACGCTGAATAATGCAACGCAGCCATCGACGACGACGACGACGAGCACGAACAACCGGGCTTGAATGGTCACAGCTTACGCTCAATTCATCTTTCGCGCCATTGTTTGGACATGGCTCTCGTAAATAGACGACCTCTGAATTCATATGTTAATATGTTTCTATCCCCCTTTCGTGATGGTCTGTGTTGCTCAGAGCTCAGCCTAAGATTAGATTGCCAGAAGGGCAAGGCTAAGCCATTGGGCAGGATGACCTGAAGCAGGATAATGATGAAGGGCCTCTGTGACCACTCGCGAACCAATCGACGCTCGGGTGTCGGACATCCCCGCTGGGGCCCACTTGGCTGCAGACATCCGAACGCCAGCCGTTTTTTGCTAACATCGGACCTGCAGGGTAGAGTTCACGTGTGGTTGCCAGGGGTTGAGGAGGCGGAGGAGCAGGGGAAGGATTGTAATCAAGCTAGGTGCGCTCACGTCATATCTGACGTCCTACCCCTCCCTCCCATCCCTTACCATGGCGCTGTTTTTCTCTATCCGCGGACGCGTGTCGTAGCGGACCTGTGGCTCCGCGCGCGCGTGCGTAGTGGGTGGTGGTGCGCGTGCGTGCGTGCGTGCGTGTATGCGTGGTTGTGGTGGTGCTGGTGCTGGTGCTGGTGCTGGTGCTGGTGCTGGTGCTGGTGCTGGTGCTGGTGCTGGTGCTGGTGCTGGTGGTGGTGATGGTGTGGTGGTGGTGGTGGTGGTGGTGGTGGTGCGGCGCGGTGGTGGCGGGCGGATGGGCGCGCGAGAAAGAGGCCCGCGCTGGGGCGAGAACGCCATCCTGAACGACGGAGGCCAAACACCGATCCGAAAATGAGGCCCACGCTGCAGCGGGGGCACGATTCGGAACGATTCGGGAGCAGAAATGAAGCCGGCGCCTCAGCGAGAGCAGCATTTTGAAAAAACACAAGCGAAAACCGTTTCCCGGGAATCCTGTGTGTAAAAAACAATACGCGGGGGGGTGTCGGATATTTTCGGGACACCATCAGGGGAACTGGGAGAGTATTTTCATATTGTGTAATTGTAGAAGGAGGATGGGGGTGGATAAGCAGCAGGGGCAGGCTTACCGATAGGGCGTCGAGAGTGTACACTTTGTTGGTTCGGAATAGGTCGGGCTCTCCTTCGATTATCCTACGGGCACCCGTGGACACAACAATCAGACAGCTGACATGTTTGTAGTGTAGAGGATAAAGAGGAGCATCTGCATTCTTCAAGGTCCCAGGGGATTCTCGCCTTGCTCCGCAGTTCCCCGCGGCCTCCAGGCGCCAGCGGTCCCCAGAGGCCCCCGTCGGCCCGCGACGATCCTCGATCCTCAGCCTGTTCCTCCCCGCAACCCCTTCCGGCCCCCCTGCCGCTCGGAGGGAGGAGCGGAGGCACCACCACCAGCGGGCCACTTCCGGCGAGGAGGTTCGCGATGTGTGTCCCCCCCAAGCTGGAGATTGGGGCTGGGCGGGGCTAGGACCAGGCTAAATCGGTTCCAGAACGCTCCGGAAAGTTCTCAGAGCTTCCAGGTCGCGGCGCCCGAGACCTCCTCCAGAGCCACCAGGTCTCATTGTTTCTTCGATATATCCTCCCCCGATGTTATCCTCGTCCTGGCTTCGTCGTATGAAGGGGGGCCTCGAGCGGGAAGTCCGCAGAACGGAGGGGACCACGCCACAGGGAGGGCCTTGCCATCGCCACTCGCGATGGGTGGCGGAAGAGCTGCCGACGGTCTCTTCGGCCGACCCCCTCCCGCCACGAACCGTTCCCCTCGCTCCGAGGGTTTCGAGGGCCAAACATTGGCATATATCAACAGAAACTTCCGGAGGTCCGCGCGGAGTTCTTGCATCGGCGCTGGACCCCCCCCGGCGCTCCGAGCTCGCCAGGGGCGGCGCTGGAGGGGGGTTAAGTCGGGTCTGCCCCTCTGCAGGAGGAGTATTTAAAAATGGTAAACAATAGTCGGGGGACATTTTTTAGTATTTTTGAATGTTTGTTTGCTATTTTTGATTACTGTCAAATCTCACGACGTTGGTAGACGCTTTACCCTAGCATCAAGGGGGCAACCATACCCCCAGCCCACCAGGGAAGGAGCCGCCAGGATTCGTCCCTGCGCACCCCCCAAAACTTCCGTGCTGGCCGTTGCCTCGGGAAGCGGGAGGTGAGGTGGCGGCCGCGCACCAGCCGTAGCTTAGTCCTTCGCCGCGGCACGCGCGTGTCGTGACACGGAGCGGGCGGGCGGGCGGGAATCGAATGTAATCGTCGCGGCCGGCGCGAAGGTGCGCTCGCAGGAAACGCGCCGCACTGCGGCGGTCGTCGTTCGGTCGTGCGCCGCGCCGCGCCCTGCACGGCGCTCTGTCGCGGAACGGCAGGCCCAACGGTCCCGTAGGGTGCCGTCTGTCCTGCGACGGCCCGCGCCCTGTACATCGCCCTGCCAGGGAACCGCAAGCACTCGGCCCCGCGGGGACGTGACCCCCCGAGCCTTGACCCAGCGACGCAATTGGCGCCGACGAAGCCAGGCAAGGCCGCCTGCGGTGAGTGGGCAGCACATTCGGAGCTGGCCATTCGATGTTCGTCCCGACGTGTAAAAGCACCCGCGTCTCTAGAACGCCCGTTTTCCGAAAGGGTTCGCCCTCCACCAAACAGGGTCAATGTCACGACGTTGGTAGATGCTTTACCCCAGCATCGAGGGGCAAGTGTACCCCCAGCCCACCAGGGAAGGAACCACCAGGATTCGTCCCTGTGAACACCCCCGAGCAGGCCCCCTTAAGGCGGTGTTCCGCGCAGCGGCGCGAGTAGGTGTTTTGTTGTTGTTTCTTCCCCCAGAAGTTCGAGCGCTCTCGCGGCGGGCGTCGTCCCTCGCAAGCGTTTGCTTGGCTTGGTCGTCGTCTGCTCAGCAGAGTAGGAGGCCACGCTCTCGAGAAAAAAACTCTGCATTAGCGTGTCCGGGGACGTGTCGGCGTAAGACTTACGCATGACATCTTCCGAATTCCACCCCCTTGCCGTTTGACAATGTTCGGGGGTAGTTTTGCGACGTGCGTGAAACACTCCGTTCCGCCTCCACGAGAGGAGTGTGTACTGGTAGCGGGGTCCTTTAAATGGGCCGACACCATTTCGCGCTACAGGTCAGCGCTAGCAGGCTAGCGTCCGGGACTTATTGTGGCGCAGAAGAAGAAAGGCAAGTCCGACGCGTTGGCCGCCCGCCACTTTGCCCAATCCTGAATTATTCTGGCCGGCGATAAACCGGCGATCGGCACGGAAGGGATGAAACACCATAGGCTTTTGCCGCACGGGTCGTTTTCTGCCTCCGGATGAGACAGCTCACGCACGGGGCATTGAAGTGCACGTCCTCGGCGCGAAGACTGAGCGCCTCCGACGCGCGGCGGAGGCCAAAGAAACAACATTATGCTAGAGCTGCATCTCTGCGCCCTGTCGGCGCGCCTGTGGCAGATCTGGACGCGGAGAACTGCGCCCACTCCTCCGCGGATATCGCGCGCTTCTGGTGCGATGCATGTGACGCCCGTTTCTTCAGGCCTCGCCAAAAATGCGACGCCCGA